CCCAAAAAGCCACAGGCTGGCCCAGTTCCCAACTATTTACAGAAAAAAAGGTTCCAATTCTTAAAAAAGCACTGAAGGTTAGCCACAATCTTACTCAAAGCTGTATTTTCAATTTTAACTCTCATTATGACACCATCTCACCATGAGGCCATGAAGCCAGCCCAATCTGAAGGTAATTTTATACGATATTTCTATATTGCAGTGCTTTGACTGCAATCTGTCATATGAGGTCAGATACGAAATTTTCCTCTTGTGGTATCATGACAGTGCTCAAAAGGTTTCAGATTTTGAAGTATTTCTGGACTAGGGGTGTTCAACATCTATCACAAAATACATTTCTCTAATAGTTTAAAACTGGAAAAATGTTTGTCTTTATAGGAAAATTAGAATGCTTCCTGTTATTTCACAAAGACAGCTATAATGCCCACAATATGTTCTTTTTTTATTTGTTTTGGTTGTTAAGCAAACTCAGAGCTAAGTTTTGTGCATGGCTGCCGTTACTTTCTTTAACCTAGGCTTTAGGGTCTCATCTGTCCTTGCACCTCAAACCATCATCATTTGACTAATTTCATGATATTACTGCACATTTATTATAAATCTCTTCAAATCTTTTCTGGAAATGGGTAGATATAAACATTAAAAGTATAAATAAATATTAGCAAATAAGAAAGTTTTGTTTGGGAAAATGCTTTATATGCATACCTTTAAAGGTTTTTTCTTTTCCTTGGAGTGTTTTCGATTTGAAGCTGAAGACATTAAAATTTTACTGATTTCAAGTCCAGTTTGAAGCTATAACATTAAAAGTAAAAACTAATAAAATTGGCTTGTAACAAGCTTCTTCAAAAACATTATAATGAGAGATTGGGTCCTAGTTTATAAATATAAAAATACTTTGTGAGAAATAGAAGAAATCTAAAATACTGTATTGTGTGTAAAATTTACTAAGCCTTCTGGCAATGACAATCATTTTCTGTTTATAAGAGAATAAACTGAAACTGAAAACAATCAATCCTAGGAGTTCTTTCAACTGAGAATGTATGTAAATTGTAATTTCAAAAGACTGGAAGATCTTTTAGCATTCAAGTATATGACTATACTGACTGACTGAGATTTTCATTATTATAACAAAAAGACACTCTCAGGAAGCACACATTGGAGTCTAGGATATAGGCTTCAGTTAATGAAAATAAAGTATAATAAAACATGTGGTTTATTGTGCTAAATAATATAATAAACATTCTATTTACCTCAGAAGCTTTGTCTTGAAAGAGCTTACGCTGATGTTCTTCTTCCTTAAGTTTTTCCTCTAAATATTTAATCTTGTCCTGCAAAAGAATAAAAACGTGCGATTGTTATGTAAAAAACTAGAGCCAAATATATTTTGTTCCTTCTCTCTCCTTTTTTCTTTCTTTTTTTTTTTTTTTTTTTTAAGATTTTATGACTTATTTTTTATTTTGACCAGAGAGGGACAGTGTGTGTGTGTGTGTGTGTGTGTGTGTGTGTG